ACTAGGTATCTAACTAGGTATCTAACTAGGTATCTAACTTAGAACACTAGGTATCTAACAAAGAACCTTATATATCAAACTAGGTATCTAAATAGGAACACTAGGTATCAAACTAGGTATCTAACTAAGAACACTAGGTATCAAACTAAGTATCTAAGGAAGAACACTAGATATCTAACTAGGTATCTAACAAAGAACACTAGGTTTCTAACTAGGTATCTAACTGAGAACACTAGGTATCAAACTAGGTATCTAACTAAGAACACTAGGTATCAGACTAGGTATCTAACTTAGAACCCTAGGTATCTAGCTAGGTATCTAACTAAGAACACTAGGTATCAGACTAGGTATCTAACTTAGAACACTAGGTATCTAGCTAGGTATCTAACTAAGAACACTAGGCATCAGACTAGGTATCTAACTAAGAACACGAGGTATCAGCCTAGGTATCTAACTAAGAACACTTGGTATCAGACTAGGTATCTAACTTAGAACACTAGGTATCTAACAAAGAACCTTATATATCAAACTAGGTATCTAAATAGGAGCACTAGGTATCAAACTAGGTATCTAACTAAGAACAATAGGTATCAAACTAAGTATCTAAGGAAGAACACTAGATATCTAACTAGGTATCTAACAAAGAGCACTAGGTATCTAACTAGGTATCTTACTGAGAACACTAGGTATCAAACTAGGTATCTAACTAGGAACACTAGGTATCAAACTAAGTATCGAAGAAAGAACACTAGATATCTAACTAGGTATCTAACAAAGAACACTAGGTATCTAACTAGGTATCTAACTTAGAACACTAGGTATCTAACTAGGTATCTAACTGAGAACACTAGGTATCAAACTAAGTATCTAAGAAAGAACACTAGATATCTAACTAGGTATCTAACAAAGAACACTAGGTATCTAACTAGGTATCTAGCTAAGAACACTAGGTATCTAACTAGGTATGTAACTAAGAACCCTAGGTATCTAACTAGGTATCTAACTAAGAACCCTAGGTATCTAAATAGGTATCTAACTAGGTATCTTAGAATCCTAGGTATCAAACTAGGTATCTAACTAAGAACACTAGGTATCAAACTAAGTATCTAACTAAGAACACTAGGTATCAAACTAGGTATCTAACTAAGAACACTAGGTATCAAACTAGGTATCTAACGAAGAACCCTAGGTATCAAACTAGGTATCTAACTAAGAACACTAGGTATCTAACTAGGTATCTATCCTGATGCCTGGTGTTTATCCTGATGCTTGGTGTTTATCCTGATGTTTGGTGTTTATTCTGATGCTTGGTGTTTATCCTGATGCTCGGTGTTTATCCTGATGCTTGGTGCTTATCCTGATGTTTGGTGTTTATCCTGAAGTTTGGTGTTTATCCTGATGCTTATCTGTTTATTATGATGTTTGTCTATGATTTAATGATTGTTCATCTAACTTCTGCAGGTCTACCAGAGGATGGGGTGAGGAAATCACGGTCCTATTTGATGCTTACAAGAGCTCCCCAGATGATAACAATGGAGGAGGAGGAGGAGGAGTCAGAGCTTGCTTCTGAGGAGGAGGAAGAGTTCATCAGGCTTGGTGATGAAACAACTACAGACATTGACCAATCTGAACAGTCAACACAACTCTCATACCGACCTATGACCCCCAAGGCTCCTCCCCTTCCTGCTGGACTAGGACTTCGCAAAGAACCTTTAATGGTCGAGGAAGAAGAGGAAGACCTAGAAACTGAAAGGAGTGGGGAACAGAAAAGTGAGGGAAAATTTTCAACCAAGACTGGAGGGTCAACACCAAGAAAGTCTGAGAGAAGTACTCCCAAGACAGGAGCCAATACACCCAAAGGTAGTGTAAAATCAAAGAGGTCTCCTGTTGGGTCTCCGCGAGAACAAGTCGTTACCAAATCACCCGCCCTATCACAAGGCAGTAACACTGGCAGAAAGACACCAGGGTCCAAACCTGTATCGCGTCAACTCTCTCATCGTACATCACAGGAACTGGAAGTCGTAGAGCAGAGCAGTCGACCAAGATCTGAACATGAAGATCCTGTCACACAAATGGAAATAGAGGATGAGACAACACATCCTGACCCCAACGAGGTCAGGAGTCAAAGGTCAGACAGTATCAAGGAGGGGGCTGTGACATCTGATGCCAAGAATGAAGCAGATGAGACAGAGCAACAGTCATTATCCAAGGCTCCTTCAAAGGAAAGTGTTAATAAATCTGACAAATTATCAAAGGCTGATTCTAAGGAAAGTGTGAATAAATCTGACAAATTGTCTAAAGGTGCCTCAAGAGAAAGCATTAATAAAGTAGGCACACTGTCTAAAGGAGCTTCTAAGGAAAGCATTAATAAAGTAGGCACAATGTCCAAGGGCGCTTCTATGGAAAGCGTGAACAAAAGTACTGGTCAGGCTGAGGCTGGTCAAAGGTCACAGCCAGGCAGCAGACGACCTTCAAATACATCACAAAGGTCACAAGCTAGCCCAGCAAACCAAAGTCAAGGTCAGAGGCAGCCATCACGAGGATCACAGAGGTCCAACGACCCTTAGACCTGGAGAAAGAGTGTGTCACTTCAATAACTAAGATGTTGTTAGGTCCTTAATCCGTCCACATGTGCTAAACCATCCATTATCTGTCCAGTATTACAGTTGTATATTTACATACAGCATTCCTATTTATTAAAGTTTCATTTCTGTGATATTCTCTGGTGTAATTGTATACACAAAGTTCATTATACTGCTGAAGTTTTGTACTGATAATAATGTTAGTTTGATGTTTGATATTTACTGATGTACTGCTGGAGATACCGAGTCTGTTGTTTATTGTAAACTTCAACCTGGTGGATCAGTCTGGTTTATTATACAATAGTCGTCACCCTTTGAAATATTTGAAGACTGTTTTATATTTATTGTGCAAGAAGATTCAACTGAACATTTTCATTTCGCCATCCATCATTTTCAATAGGTCATTTCTTTCATTCTATAATTATTTTGTGATATACATATTGACATATATTGACAAAGAATAAAATAAAATACAAGAGGGGAAACTGAATCTTTGCAAGTGCCTGTATACTTACTATTATTAAGTATAAACTTACATTAATTTTAACACATAGATTTATAAATTAAAATGTTTTGATTGCCTTCCCAGTTAAACGTTAATGACAAAAGTGCTGAGCTTAAGGACTACTTATTATTATTTATAGTAACATTTTTTGTTTATTTTTGAAAAAAAAAAAAAAAAAAAATTTCCTGTTCAAGTGTTATGTTTTGGTGCCTCGAGCACGTTTCACCGTCTGGCTGGTATAAGTGTTAGGCACTGCAGCACGTTTCACCGTCTGGCTGGTATAAGTGTTAGGCACTGCTTTGTAAACAATTGTAAGCTTTATACATTTTTCAAAATCTTGAAAATGTTGAATTCAAATTATTATATTTATGAGTAAATAAGGGTATAAACGTATACACTTCTGTTTTAACAGTTAACTCTCCCGGTCAGAGCTTTATTCTCTGGTATGTTAATATATCTACAACAGCTGTAGGCTAGGGCGCTGTTAACTCTCCCGGTCAGAGCTTTATTCTCTGGTTTGTTAATACATCTACAACAGCTGTATGCTAGGGCGCTGTTAACTCTCCCGGTCAGACCTTTATTCTCTGGTATGTTAATATATCTACAACAACTGTACGCTGTTAACTCTCCCGGTCAGAGCTTTTTTCTCTGGTATGTTAATATATCTACAACAACTGTACGCTGTTAACTCTCCCGGTCAGAGCTTTTTTCTCTGGTATGTTAATATATCTACAACAACTGTACGCTGTTAACTCTCCCGGTCAGAGCTTTTTTCTCTGGTATGTTAATATATCTACAACAGCTGTACGCTTTTAACTCTCCCGGTCAGAGCTTTATTCTCTGGTATGTTAATATATCTACAACAGCTGTATGCTAGGGCACTGCAAATCCAAGTTTATTAATCATGTGAAAGTTTGAATTTAATTTGACTGAAAAATATGCAGAATATGTTTTAATTTTTTTAAAGGAGATTGAGGAAATGTTTGTTTGACTTTCAGAGACTTATTAAGTTGGGGGGAAAAGTTAGGGGGAATAACTGTATAACAGTGGGATGCTTTTGTTTGTTTTGAATGATGTAAACCATTTTGGTAATTTGTTGGGGATAAAACATTCTTTCAACAACATAAGCAATGTTGAGTTGGAAAAGTAATTTATGGTCTTTTATATATCTAAGTCAAACTGAAGAATTGTGATAAAAAAAACATGAAAAATTTACAATAAAAACATAACAGTTTTGTTTGTTGTTTTTTACTTATTACTTATTATTAGCTCACCTGGCCCGGACAATCTTTTTTCTACGGACAGACAGACAGACAGACAAGTTGATTCCAGTATACCCCCTAACTTTGTTGCAGGGGGTATAATAAAGTGTATAATAGTTTTACTATTAAGATTATTTGATTATTTTTATATAATTGCATATCGTTGTCTATAACACAATCTCAACCTTAAGTAGTTCTCCAGAGGAAAGATTACTTTGGCAGAATACATTTTAATGAGTTATAACTGCTGCACATAGCTTTAAAACATACATCATATATTAAAGTGTTTTGGTATGATACAAAAACAGAAAATATATCGGCTTTTACCATAATAAACATTGATAATCAAATCTCCAAGATTATGTGAAATTGGGCATTGATCATGTTTGGCATGCTAATAAAGTACTTCACCGGTTTTTATATTGCATAAAAATGATTCAGTAGATAAAATACATATATGGAAAGTTTTTAAAAAAAGTTTAAAATATAGACTACCACTGTAACTATATAAAGGCAAGTTCACAATGTTGATTATATTTTAAATTTTGTGAAAATTTTGCATGTTTTTCTAAATAAAAGTATCACTACGCTTACTTCATATATACCAATATGACATATTTAGTATCAAAATAACAGTAATTTTATACACTGTACACTATCATAATTCATGTTCAAAATAGCATTCGCCTGTGACATTAATCTATCATATGTTAGGGTACCCCCATCACTCAACCTGGTGTTATGCAAGGAGGTCCACTACGGTTTTCAGTAGTAATTATGAATAATCATTTATGCAATTATTGATCAGTTTTATGTATCTACATATGGCAAAAGAATAAAAGAAATCAAAGTGGGGGCCAAATATTGACCCCACCTTTGGTCTGGAGCATCATCTCAGTTTTGTATAAATGGAGGGTATGGTCCCCCTGGGGGCAGAGGGGCAGGGCCAAATAGGGGGAAAATAGGAAAATTTTTAAAAAATCTTCTTCTTCTTAACCAATAGAAGGATTTTGACCAAATTTGTGCTAGAGCATCTTTAGACAAAGGAGCCTTAAGTTTGTATAAACAGAGGGTGTGGCCCGTCTGGGAGTGGAGGGGCGGGGCCCAATAGGGGAAATAGAGGATTTTTTTTCTTCTACTATACAAGTGTCAGAAGGGATTTAAACCAAATGCAGTCTGAAGCATGCTTAGGAACAAACGAATCAATTTTGTTTAAACTGAGGTGTGTGAACCCCCTTCTTTGGGGCAGATGAGTGGGAAATAGAGGAAAACATTAAAGATCCTTCTCCTTCTGTACCGTCGGAGGGATTTTAACCTAACCAAACTTGTTCTAGAGAATCTTTGGGCACAGGGAATTGAATATTTATAAATGGTCTTATAAATTTATAATTTATAAACCAGGCAGAGGAGCAGGGCCAAATAGGGGAAATAGAGAAAACTATTTTCCCTTCTGTACAAATGAAGGGATTTAAACCAAATGTGGTCTGAAGCATGCTTAGGGGGAAAAACTCAATTTGTTTAATTTGTATAAAAAGGTGCATGTGAGGCCCAATGGGGGAAAAAGAGGAAAATTGGGACATAACAAGGGAACTTATTTTCTTGGTGTCTTTCCAACCAAAACAGATGTATATGTAGTTCTTCTTGCAACTTTGTTTCTTGTACTCCTTTGATAAACCTGAATGGTACTCAGCAGGTTTTAAATTGAAAAATAAAATACCAGGTGAGCTATTAAGGCCCCTGGGCCTCTTGTTTTACTTATGCCATACCGCAGCATCCGTCATCCGTCCATCGTCCGTCCGTCAACTTTTCCTTTAAAACGCTACTTGTCATGAACGACTGAGCAGATTTTGACCAAATTTGATCAGAAGCATCCTTGGGGGAAGGGGAACAAATTTTGTATAAACGGTGGATTTGACCCCCCAGGGGCCTGAGGGGCGGGGCCCAATAGGGGAAACATATCAAATTGTTTAAAATCCTTCTTCTTCTGTAGGAATGAAAGGATTTGGTCCATATTTGGTCTAAAAGCATTATTGGGTGAAGGGGAACCAATTTTGTATAAACTGTGGGTCTGCCCCCACTAGGGGCCGGAGGGGCGGGGCCCAATAGGGGAAACATAGCAAATTGTTTAAAATTCTTCCTCTGTAGGAATGAAAGGAT